CAGCAGGATCATGGCACTGGTTAATGAAGTCACAGATCTCTTGGCTGTTCACCATGAAGTTAATACCGTCTGTAGTAAGGACCAAGAAGCTGTCGTCTGCATGATGCAGCTGCAATAAAGGCACACAGTATGCACAATGATGGAGCAAGTGCTGCAAGGTAAAGGAGCTGCCTTCATTTTTTTTTTTCTTTTTTTTTTTTTACACTCTGTTGCAAAGTACTTTTCCTGGGGGTGCTCATGCTCTCCTGCTTTCTGTGCAAGCACTAACTGGAACCCCCAAACCCTTGGCTAGCCAAAGGCTTCCCCTTGAATTCTCGAGCACATCCATCAGCCACAGACTGTGCTCCCTGTACTGGAAGAGAGTGTCTTAAAGGTGCTTCCAGTTCTAGGAAGCTGCCCTCTGACTACACTGAGGCCAAAAGACCAGATCCATACATTACTGATTAAACAAAATGCTTCCTTAAACTGAGGATTTCAAGGGAGACATGATAGCACTGTGGTCATCTCCCTAAACCTCTCAGGCCTAGTGGGTGGCGTTTCATTAGGACCAACTGAATATAAGTTCCCCGGCCCTGGGAGGTGCATTGGGGAAAAGTATGAAACAGAGTATGAGCTGAGAGGAGAGCCTCCCTGCAAAAGTGAAGGCAACTGTGCTGAATATCTCCTGGGTGGTTAATTTGTTTTCCGGACAACTACAGAGCTATGGTAAGATGTATGGAACTGTCCTTTCCTCCTCCCTTCCTCCCAAGTGTGCAAAACTCCATGTATTCTACTTTTTTCAATGGCAGCCCATCCATATCCCACCTAGTTCTCAGTGATGGTTTTATATCAGCATTAACCTCAAAATTAATTTGACCACAAACCCCAAACAGACTAGCATCTTTGTATTTCAGTAATGGATATCACTTATTACCTTTCTTCCCCAATCCTATATTGTATTGTGATAAATGGGATTTAGAAGTTGATTTGGCTGAATTTTGTATCAGAGACAGACCCTTTTCTGTGCTGTTAGTGTTAATCTGAAATGACTTAGAGTTGGTCTCTGGTTACTTCACCACCAAGAAAAATCAACGCTTGGCCATCAGGCTTCACATGGACGCATGTCATGTGGGTACCTCCACCTGCATCAAATATCTATGATGCCCTTTAGTCCGAATGTTGCTGTCCCTGTTAACCAGGCCTTTTTTTACCTGAACCCTTTTTGTTTCTGGCTGGGCTATCACACCACTGTTTTTAAGATCCAAATCTCCTATGCTCCGTGTCATTGCAAGTCTACCATTCACATGAGGTTGTCCCAAACTGTTCCAGGCAACGAAGCCACCGCACTTCCTAATCCTGTCCAGAGGCACAAAAGAAAAAGTGAATTATGAGTTACTGCTTCACACCATTACCCCTGTCTCTATTTGCAATTTCTGTCACTAGCTACTGATGCGGAATGGGGTACGGAAGACCTAAGCTGTGAGACTGAGGGTTGGCTTCTACTGTTTGAAGGGCTCCACGGAAAGGATGTGTCTTGGCGGGCCGAGTCCTGACCTGGGAACCATAGTGCATTTCTTCAGGTCTTGGCTCTAACTTGGCAGTTTTGGACAAGTCTGAACCATGTGGGTCCCAGCTCTATGCCAAGTCCTAGCTACGCTGATCTTACTGCTGAGACAGTTTATGTTCATGCACGGCTTCCCACATCCACGGTCCTCTAAGTGGAACCAAATGAATTAACTGGAGCTGTGCTGCTTTCTGCCAGCTCAGAGGTGGTCTCGGGGCATTATGTTCAACTCTCTGCTTTCTTCCAGGCCCAACCCAGCAGCAGAACACAAGCACATCCTGACCGAGGCCATCCCCTGGGAAGTCACATCATCAGCCAACAGGTACCTTTCCTTCTCCTCCTTTCTTTCTGGAGTATGGTCAATGGTGAGTTTCATGGCCTTTCCCTTTCGACACAGCAGAGCACGACTGTCTCCCACACTTGCCACAACCAGCTCAATACCGTCCCGGAGCAGAGCCACTGTTGCAGTGGTCCCAGAGTTCATCAGAGTTGCTATAAATGTCATATCAGAGAGAGGTTTTAGCACTGCCTTGAAGCATGGGACCATTTATAACAGCAATAGTTTTAACTGATAAAATGAAGACAACTTGTGCTCTACATTACATTACCAGTAAGTAACTGCTTTTAAGTTTAAACTAAATCTACATATACAAAAAAAGTACAGCAGACATGCATGCATGTAGGACTGGGGGGAAAGAGAGGAAGTGAAAAGGATAAGTACTTCTGTGCAACAACATGGCTCCATGCAAAGAGGGCAAGTGCAATAAAAGCTGTACTAGGTACAGTGGCTTCCTTTCAGCTTGTAGCAAATAGTTTTTCTGTCCCACTAGCTCACCTCAAGTTACAGGGTTATCATCCTTATCCCTGGGCACAGACTGCACAGGTAGCCTACCATAAAGCTGATGGCTCTTCCCTTCTCTTAGGTGGTGAAGTGGGCAATTGAGTAATAGTAATTGTAGCTCCACATAGTTTGCCAGAAGAGAGATCTCAGAGATCACTAGATCGCTCCTTTACCCCACTCTGTGGTGTCTTCCCACTGCTGTCAGAATTGTTACAGTCTCCCTCTGTTTCCCCCAGCCGAAGGGTTCAGCCAGCAGCCTGCTGGCTTTTTTCAGGAAGGGATGCTGCTCCTTTCAGACCCTGTCAACTTGCTGGAGGTCCCAGCGCAAAGGTGAAGCTGGATTCTGCCTTGTCTTGTTCCTGCAAACCGATGCAGTCTGCTGGCAGTGGCCTTCTGCTCTCTGGGCAATCTGCCCTGGGCACCGGTGGGATCACTTGACAGGGGTGTACAGTGACTGCCTAGAGAGCAGAACAGAGCCCTAGCTGCTGTCTTCCCTCTCTTACAGGTAAAGCAGTGACCTGAGCTGACTGACTGTGTTGAGGGACCTGGTTGGATTAACTGGCGCAAGTAAATCTGAGGGCTTCTCATTTCAATTTCTACAACGCTCTGGAAAAAAAAGAAGTGCTTGAAAAGGAGAAATGTGAGTCTGCCTATTTCAGAAAAGATCTGCAGTTTTATCTGTGGTGAAGTAAATGCCAGAACAACTGTCCAGCTTTGCTTTTTTGTTTGCTTTTTGAAAGGAGCAGTCCCTAGTTTTACAGTTATTTATCTTCCCTTACTGCAAATTATGCAAAGGTAACACAGTAAGAGGTGCCTGGAAAGCAGTAACTCCTGCCGACTTGAGCTATTACAGTAAAATGTCTGGCCAGGACAAGCTATTGCCCAGAACACATTTGCATTCACTGCCAGTGTAAATCCCCTTGAAAGGCCCTCTGTAGGTCTCCTGCATTCTGGGATTTTCCAGTTTTTCCAGGTTTTAAAAGCAAGCCAATTCGAGAGCGGTTTTAGGCTAACTTGGGAATGATAGTCTGTTTTCACATGACTAACAGAAAGAAGAACTTTCCACCAACACTTCTGCAGAGCTCAGCTAGAACTACATGCAATCCTACCTCTGGCCCTGCAGCCCTGACCCTGGGGAGGCAGGACGGATCTGAGACAGGACTGCGCATCTGAGCCGGAGGAATGCCAGCCAGCCCCATCTCTGACCAGCTGCCAGCCGACTCGCACGACCGCCTACGCATACAGAGACAGAAATGCGAGTGCTCTGAGATCTTGGCGACCTCCTTCCCCAGCCCTGTGAGGTCTCAGCATCCCGTAAGTAAAGCAGGGTTGGGAGTTAACTGAAGTGCGCAAAGCCCTGAAAGATGCATTGAGCCTTGTTGTGCAGCGAAAGCAGCAAGTTGATGAATCAAAAAAACCTCACAAAAACAGTCTGAACTAAGCTTGTGTTATTATTTAAAACAGGTATTATTACTGCAGTGAGGACTTGGTTTAGCTATACACTTAACACATCAATCGTGAACATCAGCCATGGTGACCTACGTCAAATCTTGGACTACGTTATGGCTGCCATGCAGGCTACGATATTATTTAGATGCTGGTAGCTGCTGACTATTCAGGTAAGCACTGACATCCTGTTTCTAATTTGAAGCAAGGACTAGTACAGTGCAGGCTCACTTTGAAGCACATTATGAAAATAAGATGCTAACAAGTACCAGTGTGATTAGAAATTTTAGTAGAACCAGTAAAATACCTGTTTTAGCCAACAGTTAAAAGAAGTGAAATGAAGAACCTACGTAAAACTACCTTTTTATTTCACAGAAAATACATTTTATTTAGACGTTAAAATTAATGTACAACTGCCTCTACTCTCCCATTTCATTCCTCGGTTTTGGAACTATGCTGACAAACATAAGCAGTTTCTGAAAAAGTTACAATCTGTAGTCTTTAATTCACTAATGACTGGAAACATTTGGACACTCAGGTGAATCTGCATCTGTCAAGTGCAAACTCTCAAAGGCAAAAGAGTCACTATCACAAAATCAAGGGATGGTACTAAAGAACAAGTCAAGATGTCCAGAATTGCGGTAATGGTCATAGTGACTTGACCTTTATATACGATTATTAGTTAAACAGCACTCCTAGAAAAATAAATGCTACTCATGCTCTCTTCCCTGGAACCAGTTCATGATCTGGGTAGGGGTGCAAGAACATAGATGTAGCTAGACTACACGCATTATATGATTTCTAGCACAGCTCGAAAACACAGGAATGATGATGGGATAATATTTCTAATGCTTTACGACAACTGCTGCTAGGTTATTTAATAACATCAAAATATGTTGCATCGGCATATATATTGGTTTTAACAATTAAAGAGTTTATTTTGTTTTCCTAACAATATCACTATAAAACTAAGATCTTTCAATAGGTTCTTAACACTCACTGGACAACTTCTACTGCAAGTCATCTCAACTAATGTGACAAAGAGGATGTGGGAACCTTCCAGTAGTCCAGGCTAGGAACCGCCGGACTCCTTCACCTGGGACAAAATTAAGCAGATCTCTCTTTCCACTGAAGCCCAGCATATAGTGTCCAGGGCCTCCAGTTCTAGAGCTGCTGACCAGGTACAGTGTCTGCCACAAATAACACGCACACAGAGGCAAATAGGAAATTCACCCAGGGACTTTGTTCAAACAAAATAAACCTGCAACACTGGAGATGAAAGAATAAGGGCTGCAGAACAGGGGAAGTAGTCACTCTTGGGTTTGCCTGCACTATCTTTTGCAGGTTGTATAGGAAGTACTTGAGGCTTACACACGCATCTTTGGCCACAGATAAATCAGCCTTTACATCTCTGGGGAATTGCCACTGTTCTCCCCTTCTCGCTAAAACTGTGTGACAAAACCAGTTCAAATTCAGCCAAAGTAAAAGCTTTTTTTTTTAAAAAATTTTCCTGGGTTTTCTTTGATGTTAGAAAAAGTTTTTTTTTTTTTTTTTTTTCTGTGGAGGTCAGTTACCAATCAACAAATCAACCAAAGAATTGTATCAATGCTAGAGGGCCAGCTGTCTCATATATGGCAAGACTGGCCACCCTGAAGAACTTCTTCAGTACAGAATATGGCCCAATCTGTTTCCTCAAGGTAATTTATTTTTTATGTATGTATATGTATTTCTATATAACACGAAAATGGGGAGTTCAAACCAGTGCCAACTAAAATGAGGCCATTTTAAAGGCACTGAATAGAGGTATATGAATCATTCTGATCCCATATCTGGGAAAATATGCAAAATAAACACCCCTTTAATATTGTCATTAGTATATTCTAATTTGATTAGGTAATAATCAGGGCCCTTGGATAAAAAGTCTGCTTTTGTAACATTGATGGATTTATGAAATATTTAAGTACAATTTCTGCAGCTCTCCCTTTTCCTCAGTGTTGCAGGTTAACATATTCAAAGAAATAAAAATCATATGTTTGAATGGTAACTTAAAAAACCAAAACCAAGACCCACTACTTTTTAAATGTAGTTATTTTTAAATAACTTTTGCCGTTTGCTCAGCATAATAAAATTCCAGGAGTGCCTTTCAAACATAGATACATCAGTTAATACCTGGCTATGTTTTAACAAGATGGCTATTCCAGAAGTGAGTGGCCAATGTGATTAGCGTTGGATGCACTGAACATGGAGGTCGATGGAAAGACTCCCTGTTGTTTAGTAGTGGATTGCAGTGAGCAGAAACAGTAGCAGTACCTTGTAGACTGCACTAGGCCAGGAGAGGGTACGTCTTACATGTCTCCAGAGAGATGCTCAAGCACATGATTCACTTCTTTATTTCTGTCCTTGCTAAGCAAAGCTATTCAGTTTTTACATTTCAGTTTTTATGGCTGGTCAAAAATATCAGAAAATTCTGTCTATCTGTGTTAACAGTTGTCCTGTGGATAATGACATATTTGTTGGATGTGAGCTTCCCTTACTCCGTCCTACAGCTAAGGTTAGCAGTGATTTAAAAGTGACTGGATATGTGGGGAAGTGAATGAAAATGCATTTTTTAAGAGATCTCAAAGACCATGCTTAAGGGTTCAGGCATATCTCTAAGCTGTTAATGATTAGAAAGGATTTAGCTGGAGGAGAGATTATCCCAGATCTGCCTACAGCAAGTTTCTTATGCTTTTCTGTGAAACAACAGGTACAGATCACTGTCAGAGGGGATACTGGACCAGTCTCCAGCAGGCCACTACAACACTACAACAGCACCAGTGAACTGCATGCCAGACACAGTAGCAGTACCTAGAACACATACATATATCTTTTTTTTATTGAAAGCTCACAGAAACTATTATGCTATATATTTTCCATCTATAATTTCGAATATTGTGTAATTGTAAAGTGACCTACAAAAGGCTATGCCCTTGAAGACATAGCTAGGTGCTCCAACAAGGCAAATCTCTAGTCCTGTTAAATTTGTGCCATGATATGAGATTTTTACCCCTTAAATAGTACTATAAACAATGCGTCAAACAAAACCCATGCAATTTTGGCTACAGGGTTTTGTCCCAGGACTTATATTCCTCCAGGCACACACTTTCAAAGCTGGTCGTGTGTTAGTAAAGACCTGGACATCCTGAACATGCACTATTTGGTGGGGTTTTTTTGCAGATCTATTGAAAGGAGCGAACCCTGGCAGGGTCGTCTACTGAAACAAGACTAAGCTATTATTTTCCATTTTGTCAGCTATGGCCACGTTCCAGACGGAGGTCAGTCCTGGGGAGCATCCAGTGTACCCCAGATACCCAGTGTTACACAACCAGCCACCATTTTCAAGATACTTTAGCATACTTGACTGTCACATCTAGAATAGCCACAATTAATCAGAAATTTTGCTGGCAAACTGAATCACTTTGAAAGTAGGCTTCTAACAAGAATACATGCCAAGCATTGAAATTTTATGTAACTTTCAAAACAGCAGCAACAACAAAAATATCCACACCAAGCAGTCAACATCATATTGAATTATTTTAACAACAGATATGCAAGAAGTTCAATTTGTTCAGAAATCCACAGTTGTCTCTGCGCTCTGTTACTCCACTCTTTGCCTTATAGTTTGCTTTTCAGCTGGACAACCAGTCAAGAGCACTGGGCACTTTTAGATCCCACTGGCTCCTGCAAGAGCTTGCAGGTGCTCAGCCTACCTGAGAAACACTGAGTGGTTGCCAGAGTGTGGCCTCTGTGGATGTTTGACAACAATTTTGCCCTCTATTTTGCCTGACCTCAAGCTTTTTTAATGAAGAGGGTCTGTCCAGTATCTTGGTAACTGTTACATAAATTTGCTGGCATTTGCATTATATTTCACTAAGCAGCACCTGTTAAGTTATATGAAAAAAACCCTATAAGCAGTTCCAAAATGCTCAGCTTGCTGCACAACTGGAATGTCAAATATTGTTGCTATCCAGTTCCGTTAAGTCTCATGTATGAAATGCTATCATCAGAAACCATTTTCAGAATAACAGAATAATATATCAAGTACAGTTCCCAATCCTTCTCCTCAAGCAGCTGCTCTGACACTTCACAGAAGTCACTTCAATGAGCCAAACCAAGAGCTGCCCTAGTAAGAAAGGGGCAGGGAGGGGGGCGAATATAACAGATCTTCATGTTAGTGAAAATGAAAGGTCCCGATCCAGGGAAGCACACAGGCCTGTATTCAGATAATTTCTTGAATTTGAGCTTTTAAGAAAATGTATTTGCAAGGAGGCTCTTGGGTAAAAAGCACATCTGCTCTACTGATGTGTCTCTCATAAGTGCAGTTTAAACTCACCCTGTAGGTCAAAAGTGACTCTGGACCTTTTTACCACATCATTATTTTTTAATGATTTCAATATTTAAAAAAAAGGGATATAATGGGGAAAATTAGCTTTATAGATTTAATTCCCCTTTTTTAAGGGCTGCATTTCAGGACTTAAAGACTTTTTTTCCTGACATCCCTCATACCTTAGCTTGTAAGAGGAAAGGTGTATATCCCTCACAGTGCTGCAACAGTCAGGCTACCTGTCCTGACAGGAAATACTTGAGCCTATCGAGATTCATCTAGCAGTTAAAGTGCAGGAAGCCACTTCGTTACTTGATTGTATTCGTTCATTGTTTAAGAAAAGTAGCTTGAGAATACATTAACAATTCTGTCCCTAGAGGGCTTGTTCTTTTCAAGTCTTTCTTGGAGAGAAAACTTTTACAGTTTCTGTTCATCTGAAATGACTCAGTCATTTTGCCAGCACCTGTACCAGCCCTGGGACAGGGGTTTTGTTTGGGTTTTTTTGTTGTGGGTTTGTTTGGTTTTTATTGGGTTTGTTTTGTGGTGTTTTTTTTTTTTTTAAGACCTGGCTAAACTGACTCTTAAAATTGTATCTCATGGCTGAGGAAGCTCCTGTGACAGAACTGGGACCTCTATCTCCCTTCCCAAGTTACTCTCTATAAGCACCAGTTGCTGGAATTTCAGATGTACTTAGTCTCTAGACATATACACAAAAACTTGATTAACAGCCAGGACTAAGGAGTCTAAAAGGGCTGGTGCGAGCTTTACCCACAGCCTTACCACAGCCAACCTTGTTTTCCTCTTCACTGCTTTTTTCCCTTTCACACTCAGCTACTCCTGTGATTCTGTTTGTGCAGAACCAGTATCAATAGTATTGATTTTGGCTTACATTCCTCCTCAGGTGCAGCAGAGAGAAAGGGGAACTTTTGACACTACTGCTTTTAACCCACAGGAATAACAGCTTAAAAAAAAAAAACAAACAGAAACAAACAAACACCAAAAACACCAATTTAAAAAAAACATCCCCCCACAGACATCTTATACAGTGAAGTTACGCTCTTTGCAAATCTAAGTCACTGTTTGCTAACTTGACAAACGCTCTACTTGACAGAATCACATTGAAAGAAATTCATTGATGATTATGGTTACATTCAGAAAAATAACTGCCCCAGTAAATTTGATTTAGACTTTTTATAGCTGTTTCATTTCAAGGAGATAAAGCATAATTGTTGCATTTGCAGTAGGTGATCAGAACAAAATCCTATGTTAAATAAAACAAGCATTTTTCAAGCATTTTTCTGGACATTTTACTACAAAACTACTGAATAATTAAGAAAAACCCTATTCTCCACACCCATATGAGTAGAATATTTTTTTTACCTACCATCAGCAGACAGATGAGCATGCCTCTCATATGCGTTGTTTATTTCTAGAAATGCTTTGTTCAAAACATTTTCCAAGTTCTCTTCCTGAGCAAGAAATTCTCTGGAAACAAACAAGCAAACAAAAAATTAAACTTCTTTCCAAGAAATATACATCTTGATCAATCTCTTCCATAGTCTTATCTCCTCCCTGCATGCATTGAATAATACTAGATTTCAATGAAAAGGTATTAGGACTTTACTAATGACCTGCTCTGGAAGCATAATCCTGCAATTTTGCAAATAGATAAAATTATTCTTCCAACACCCAGGGATGTGACACAGAGATACAGAAGAGCGTAAGCAAGCGAGCTATAGGTCAATGACCACAGCGACCCCATCTGAAAACAGTTGATTCACACTCTGTGTTCCCAGTCCTGTCCGGGAAGGTGAGTACAATCCTTGTCTTTCCGGGCTTGCTCAACAGGGCAGGCACCATACAGATGAAGTAGTTCATAGCATGTCCATTGTAACAGACTGCTCCAGTCCAGTGCTCCTGCTGTCCCACTGGGCTAGGTGGCTATATAACCTAGGAAGGTTAGTGACAGTGTATGACCCACCAGTTCGCTGTCAGTCCTAAGGAAGGAATCTCTACTGTCATTCATATGACACGCATTCACTTGATGCACACTTACTTAATATATTTTTCCATGTACTTATCACAGAAGTCTGCTGCTGCTGCCCCACCATGTCCATCATATACTGCAAAGTATAGGACATCCTCCGTCAGCTGGGCATAATCAAACCGGTCTTCATTTTCCTTACGCTTCCCGATATGACTAGCGCAGCCCACATTGGCCAGGCTGACTTTTGGAATCGGCTTCCCATACTTTATGCTTGGTGGGAGGAGAATAGGTTCATCAATGCGATTATCCCAGATGCCAAAGGTGTCCCATGTGGTAGGTCGCCCGCTCCCATCTGAATCGAAGCGGGAAGCACGGCGCTCGGAGGTGGAGCTGTAGCAAGCGGCTGTCGGACGCTTCTCGTCTTGCAAGAGGCGGGACGTCAGCACAGCTCTCCTCCTAACTTGATATCCTCCGTTTCGTACCAAATTAATTAAAGTAGCTGTTGACATAACTTGTCTTCACAGAGATTCGCAGGAATAAAAAATCAGTAATAGAAGATATGCAGCTGCTGGAATGTCTTCGAGAACAGAGAGAAAACTGATCAGGAAACAAGAAGCACAGGAAGGGGAATTTTCAGTTACATCATTCAGGAAACAATGTCACCCTCAGAGCCCACTAATCATGCATAGCACAGCACTGCCTAGAAGAAACTACAGAGGGATCTGCATGACTCACCGAGAAACAATCCTACACAGACCAGCCCGCATCTAATGGGGAGTACTGCAGATAGATCAAGGCAAGGCATTTCTGCTGGTCACCTGCATAATGACACCCTGAATTTTCAAAGGTTGAAAAGGTTGTGATGGAGCAAATGAGAGTGATAATGACTTTACTGCATGTCAGCTACAATATGAATATGTGAAAATATGAGGTAAGGTAATGAAAATGAGCTGATCGTGCATGCTCTTCAACCAATTGCTGAAACAGCTGTACTGTGGCTCCCAGGGAGAGGGTAGGAGAAATATATTTGCTTAGATTTTAAAGAATTTTTTCACCTGCACATGATATTCGGTTCTGTCACAGTTAATGAGGATTTGAACAATACTTTTTAACACAGACCTGTGAAGTGAATCGTGATTTTCTTAGGCTACCTAAGAATGCTCACTGAGAGTATATCCATGGACATACACAACTGCACACACAAGCTTCCTCCATGCAGCAGTTTGCTGTTTTGCCTACCCTGAAGTTCTCTGCCACCTAACCCTGAAATGGGGCCCCTTGGCTAACACAGGCAAGTAAGATCTTCTACTGGCTTCTCAGATCTCTTTTCCAGCACAGATAAATTAAACTGACCACTTGGCTCAGCACAGATAAAAATTCACCAGTGATGATTCATCTAGCATGCTGAAAAAATGTAGAAAGATTGGCTTATTTAACCTATTGTGGAATAACACACAACTTGATGAAAGTCCAAGAGGCTGTGATGCAGTTTGTAGTAACTTTGTTTGTTGCACCACAGTAATTTGAACTGGACCATCAGATCACTGTAACTAATCACACTAAATTTTAAGTGAGGGATTTCTAATTTAATTGCTGGAAGTTTACCGAGAGCAAAATTTCAAGTGAAAGGTATTATATGCTATAGTAAAGGAATTAAAAATATGCAAGCTCATGGTGAATGCCAAAAAAGAAAAAAAAAAAAGACGGCAGGGTGGTGTGACATAATCAAGCAGCAAAGAGCAACACATGTACCCCAGAGACACTGTAATTCTGGGCTGGACTGCCTTGCCGTTGTACTTTCCCCATGCCAATCACAATTGCATCTGTAGATTTGATATATTTGTTAAGACTACTTTTTAAAATTACTAGACAAAGTCCGAGTGCTTGCAAAAACACACAGCCAAAGGTAACTTAGTAAGTGGTTGCTTTAGTAGAAAAATGTCTGTGACAGGAGTTTTCTGGACACCTCCATTAAACTTGTCATTCACAGCTCAAAGCAGGTTGCTTTAGATGCTCTTGGTTTACCTTTCATGCAATTCTTAGATGAAGAAAGGTTTCTTTACTTAGCACTTACTTAGAGAGTGACTGTCAGCTTGGTAAAAGGCCAAACATGCTGTTGTTGCACCAGATGACTGTGAGCTAGGCCACCAGGTGAGTGGAATTGACCACTTGGCATTTTAAGATCTTTCCATTTTATTGCGGGGTGACAGCAACATCACGTCCTTACTTCAGTATACTTACAGGTATTTGAAAATTGATTTACTTTCCTGAGTTGCTTTTTCTTTTCTGTTACCCTTGACTCATAACAACAGTATGCTAACTTCCTTCTGTGAAACACAGCACGACCAAACTGAAAGCCTGCCAATTAACAAAACCCACACTTGCTTTCACTTCTGTCAGCTTGAAAGGAGAACATGAAATGTTAGCTATATTTAGATTTCCCAGTATCGACAGCATGAATCAGAAGATTAATCCAAAATCCCAAGATAATTAATGCAAACTCAACTCTTAAAAGGCGCTTTTTTTTTTCCCCAGGCAAGTATAAATGCTGATGACCGTTTGGCTTTTCAAGTGTCTCTGCAAGTCAGGAGTAGGAACCTGATCTTTAGTTTCTGTGATGTAAATAGTTATGCTTTCTGCTGCACATGTAACAGTCTGTGCTTTCCTAACTGATATGTCTGCAAGCAGAGGGCAAGCCTATCAGGGCAAAATAAGAAAGGGGGGCATTGGTGTTAAAGCCAAAGTCCAAGGCAGACAGTTGTAGACGGAAACCTGTTTTGAGGTGCTCCATCTGATTCTGGTCACCTGTACACATTTAACTTAAAGAAATGGTTCCTGCAGTCAGCCAGGGAAATACACTGCTTAAAGCAAATGAAGTGAGCGATTAAACTGTAGCTCAACACGCACCGCGCTCCTTTCACAGGCTGGCTGCTTCTTGGCAGATGGAAATTTTCCAGATTGTGAGAAGGGGGAAAAAAAGCAACCCGGAAGACAGCGAAGGCATACCCGATGCCCCAGGGGATTGAACGCATTTAAAAAGGAATTTAAAACTCTGAACACGCTTAAGTGCACTTCCCTTGCATGCTTTCCAAACCCCACAGATGTGGGCAGTACCGTACGTTGCTGTGTGTTAAGCTCGTCTTAAATCAGAGGGGTGTTTGTTTTTTTTTTTAATCTTTGACAATATAATCTCACGCACTGTCTGGATAATAAACTGCGTAGATAGCAGCAATTTTTAAGAGGTTTCTGCTGGTATTTGCTAATTACGAATTAGTACACGACCGAGCTACGATGGGTTTATGCTATGTATGCAAAAGCTGAGCAGTTACGTTAGGCAGCGCCACG